TTTAAGTGTCAACTTTGGGATACCTTCAAAGTCCTTCTGGCCATCTCTGTCACTGAGAGGTGCTTCCTGGCCACCTTGTCCCTCCTCTCCTCCTGGCCTTTTTCCATTCTTCATCACCTTGTCCTTCCTGACTGAGGAAATCCAAATTCTCTTCCTTCCTTTGCCCAAGCAATTCAGTTCCCCGGCTCCTCTATCAGGCTCCTCCTGGGGCTAATACAAAGGCTTTCTGCTGACCTGGGCCCACCTCCTTAGCAGGCATTTGTGGTTGCACATTTCATCTCTTTTTGCTGCTTTTGTGAATTGGGGATTGAGGGTCTTACAAGGCAAGGAGGCTTCTGCTTACATGTGGGCAGAGGTTTTATGCACAAGTGAAATCATATTTTACAGTCCTCGGTGACTGTTGTTCCACTTAAGACACAGACATCTTTCCATATCACCAGTAACAACAGCTGAACTTTTTATTGAGAACTTCTGTGGGGCATTTTACATTTGTGTTATCCCGGTTTGGTAGCCACTAACTACATGCAGACACTAAAGCCCTTGAAATGCGGTTAGTACTAACAAGGAACTAAATTCTTAATTTTATTTTATTTATTTATTGTTTTGAGACAGGGTCTTGCTTTGTCATCAAGGTTGAAGTGCAGTGGCATGATCACAGCTTACTGCAGCCTCTACCTCCCAGGCTCAAGTGATCCGCTTGCCTCAGCCCCCCCCAAGAAACTGAGACTACAGGAACATGCCACCACACCTGGTTCTAAATTCTTAATTTTTATTTAATTTTTATTTAAATGTAAAATCAAAAATTTGTTTTTGTTTTTGTTTTTTTTTTTTGAGACACAGTCTCACTCTGTTGACCAGGCTAAAGTGCAGTGGTGTGATCATGGTTCACTGCAAGCTTCCACTCCCGTGTTCAAGTGATTCTCCTGCCTCAGTCTCCCAAGTAACTGGGACTAAAGGCACGCACCACCACATCTGGCTAATTTTTGTATTTTTTAGTAGAGACAGGGTTTTACTATATTGGACAGGCTGGTCTCGAACTCCTGACCTTATGCCGCCTCGGCCTCCCAAAGTGTTATGATTACAGGCGTGAGCCACCGTGCTCAGCCAAAAAATATCTATTAAACACAACTATAGGCAGGGCACGGTGGCTCACGCCTGTAATCCCAGTCCTTTGGGAAACTGAGGCGGGTAGATCACCTCAGGTCAAGAGTTCGAGACCAGCCTGGCCGACATGGTAAAACCCCGTCTCTACTAAAAAATACAAAAATTAGCTGGGTGTGGTGGTGAGTGTCTGTAGTCCCAAGTCTGAGGTCATAAGCAGGGCCACAGGTGGGACAATGAGGGACACAAGCTAGGGATGGGGCTTGGCTGGAAAGCATTGAAGAGACCATAAATAGGGGGCAGGAGAGGGCTGGTTTGTCACAGCAGCAGTGCCTGGTCACAGTGGCCCAACAGGCTGAAGGAGCCATGTGGGATAGAACTGAGGCTTGGAGAGGAGGCTGCATGAAAGGTGCAGCACACAGTAAGGCCAGACACCAAGGAGAAGCACATCAGGAGTCCCTGTGAGCCAGGCCCTTTGCTAACAAACCTCTAACAGGCATTTGGTCAGGCAGCCAGTCACTCAATAAATACGGACTGGGTATCTATGAGGCACCAATCTCAAGTCAACAACCTCAGAAGAGCTAACAACCTAAGAGGGTTTTTCCCCACACATTTTACAGCTGAATAACATGGGGATCAGGGAAGTGAAGTGACTTAGCCAAGGTAAATTAGTAAGATAGTGGAGATCTGAATGCACCTGAAGCCACCTAGTTCCAGGACCCTTACCACCTGGGTCTGCCTTTGTACTCCGACTCCCCCTCTCTGGCCATCCTGAGTCTACCGGAGATTGGGGTGGAGCTTGGGGTCTATAACTGGCTCCTAAGCTGCAGTTGCAGGCAGGCTCTGGCCCAGCATGGGAGACAGGAGGAGAGGGGTGACCCTCATTCCTGAATTTCTGGTTTGCTTTTTTGTCTTGAGACAGTATCATTCTGTTGCCCAGGCTGGAATGCAGTAGTGTGACCTCAGCTCACTGCAACCTCTGCCTCCCAGGTTCAAGTAGTTCTCCTGCCTCAGCCTCCCAAGTAGCTGGGATTACAGGCACACACCACTACGCTCAGCCAATTTTTTGTATTTTTAGTAGAGGCGGGGTTTTACCATGTTGGCCAGGCTGGTTTTTATAGTTTTAGTAGAGACAGGGTTTCGCCACGTTGGCCAGGCTGGTCTTGAACTGACCTCAGGTGATCCGCCCGCCTTGGCCTCCCAAAGTACTGGGATTACAGGCATGAGCCACCAGGCCCAGCTGTTTTTTTTGTTTGTTTTGAGACAGAGTCTCTGTCGCCCAGGCTGGAGTGCAGTGTCGCAATTTTGGCTCACTATAACCTCCACCTCCCTGGTTCAAGCAATTCTCTTGCCTCAGCCTCCCCAGTAGCTGGGATTAGAGGCACGTGTCACCGTGCCCGGCTAATCTTTGTATTTTTAGTAGAGATGGGGTTTCACCATATTGGCCAGGCTGGTCTCAAACTCCTGACCTTAAATGGTTTGCCCGCCTTGCCCTCCCAAAGTTCTGGGATTACAGGCATGAGCCGCCAGGGCTGGCCTCATTCCTGGGTTTCTAAAGGAGTTAAGTACATATCTTAGATCTGGAACAAGAGCACTGTGGATCTCCTGGTGAAGGAAATGTTCCCAACCTGCCTACAGAGGTTTAGACAGCATACTAGAGGCACAGTGGGAAGAGCCTAGGCCCAGGTTCTAATTCTGGCTCTGTCCCTGACTGTGTGACCTTGGGCAAGTCACCTCTCCTGAGGCCTGGCTTCCTCATCTATTGAATGAAGATTGTAGGAAATTATATTTCCACTTGTCTTTAATCACAGGCCAGAGCAAAGAAGAACCTCTACTACCTCCTGCCCACCACTGACCAGTCAGAGAAACGGTGAACCCTAATGGAGCAGAGAGGCTTCCAGAAGGGAAGCAAAAGCACTCAGAGCTTCTACCCCTCGTAACCGGACTATGCCCTCTCCCTCCCGGGTTGTGACAATGCCACCTCTGTGGTCTCCCCTCAGCCTCTTCCCTGTCCTACCATTTTTGCAAGATGACACTTTTGTTTAGTTCACTCAACAACTATTTATTGAGCCCTCTTCTGTGTGCCATGTCAAGTCCTAGGTGCTGGGGACACAAAAACAAGCACAACAGGCAGGTTCCTTCGCTCGTGAAGCCCACAATCTATGGAGAAGTCTGACACTCAACACAGAACCCCACCAATGGCTGCACAACTGCAGACTGAGGTAAGAGTTCTGCAGAAAAAGAACAGGTGTAAGAATTTGACTGTGGCCTCCTGAGGCCAGGACAGGAGTGTGGAGTGGCCAGGGTGAAGGAGTGGAGCTAGGGAAAGGGAATGTGAGGCAGAGGGAAATGCTTGAGTGAGGAGGCCAGAGTGGGGGGTGTGGTGGGAGACAGGCCAGAAAGTGGAGGGGCCCGATGATACAGGAAAGGATCTGCTGTCGCCTAGTCATTCCCCTGCTTCCACACCACCTGTGGCTCCCTTTGGCTGCACACTCACAGCCCACAGAGGATCCGGTCATCCTGGACTCCTCTTCCTCAACTACCATGCCCATTCCACAAGCATTTTATACAATGTCTATGGTGGCCAGGGACCATGTTAAGCTCTGGGTATGGGAACATCAGGGAACAAAATGGACTTGGTGCCTGTCCTCCTGGAGGTCACAGTCTCTCTGAACCCTAAATGGCTCCTTCTAGCTTTATAGCCATGACCTTTCCAATTGACCCCTCCCTCACCTTGATCTCAGTGGCTTCCTCACTGTCTCCCACACTCCCTGCTTGTTCCTGGACAATCTCTTCTCTGCACAGCAGCAAGATGCATATTTTATTTATTTATTTGTTTATTTTTTGAGTTAGGGTCTGGCTCTGTCGCCCAGACAGGAGTGCAGTAAGACACATATTTGAAGACACAAATCTGCATTTCTCAAGTCTGAGTCATCCTGCCTACTCTCATCTTGGCCCCCTATTTGTTTCCTTTATAGCTCTCGCAGTCTGTAATGATTAATCTGTGTATTGATTTAGGCAAGAATAGAGGCTCTGCAAATTATGGTAGATTGAACATACACATTCAATTTCACTCCCTCCCAAAACCTTGCTGGAACTACAGTAAAGACATTCTGTTTAAGGCATAAACCCACTAACATGGGGAGAATGAGGGAGGAGACCAGAGGGCAGCATTTGGAAGCTGGGAAGCAGATGGTCAGGTGGTCACCACACAGCAAACCCATGAAAACTATAGCCTAAACTGGATGTGGGGAAGAGAAGAACCCACCCAGTCCAGATCACAGACTCCCCCAAAGGCTCAAGCACCTGTGTATGAGGGTGAGGAGGAATAAAATAAGGAGGAGTTAGACGCTGCTGTTTAAGGGCGAAAACTGTTTGGTCCCTGGGTGGCTTCCCTAATCCTGGCAGAACACGGGAGGTTTATTCTCTGAGAGGAGAAAACAGGATCACTGGACTGAGAGATCATGAGGGCGGGGTATCCACCCCAAATCAGGCGATGAAGTGAACACACACACTGTGAATGCTGAGACCCCACGCCAATGCTGTTTCCCAAATTGGCTCCCAGAAAGCTGGCCACCATGGCTTTGCTCCCTAGGCAGGAGAGCAGGAAAAATTTTGTCTAAAGGAAATCTGACCAGACCAAGAGGAAAGACCTACCGCTAACATCATCAGAGATATAAGAGAAGATAGTCCATCTATGATGCAAGAAGAGGATGTTCTTTTATTTATTTATTCTTTGGAGATAGGGTCTTGCTCTGTTGCCCAGGCTGGAGCGCAATGGCACCATCTCAGCTCACTGCAACCTCCACCTCCTGGGCTCAAGTGATTCTCCTGCCTCAGCCTCCCAAGTAGCTGGGATTACAGGCACATGTCAAGAAGCCCAGCTAATTTTTGTATTTTTTTAGTACAGATGGGGTTTCACCACGTTGGTCAGGCTGGTCTTGAAATACCGACCTCAGGTGATCTGCCCGCCTCGGCCTCCCAAAGTGCTGGGATTATAGGTGTGAGCCACCACATGCTGCCAAAAAGGATGTTATTTTAGAAAGAAACAGTTGGCTGGGCGTGGTGGCTCACACCATGTTTGAAACCAGTCTGAGCAACATGGTGAAAAATACAAAAATTATCTCTACAAAAAATACAAAAATTAGCCCAGCACTATGGTATGCGCCTGTATCTCAGCTACTCAGAAAGCTGAGGCAGAAAGGTCAATTGAGCCTGGGAGGTCCAGGCTTCACTGAGCCAAGACGGTGCCACTGCACTGTGGCCTGGGCAACAGAGCAAGACCCTGTTTCAATAAAAAATAACGGCTGGGCGCAGTGGCTCACACCTGTACTCCCAGCACTTTCGGAGGCCGAGGCAGGCGGATCACAAGGTCAAGAGATCAAGACCATCCTAAACAACATGGCAAAACCCCATCTGTACTAAAAAATACAAAAATTAGCTGGGCATGGTGGTGCGCGCCTGTAGTCCCAGCTACTCGGGAAGCTGAGACAGGAGAATCGCTTGAACCCAGGAGGCGGAGGTTGCAGTCAGCTGGGATCGTGCCACTGCACTCCAACCTGGCAACACAGCGAGACTCCATCTCAAATAATATTTTTAAAAAATTGGTCCTTGCTGGGCGTGGTGGCTCAAGCCTATATCCCAGCACTTAAAGAGGCTGAGGTGGGCGGATCACCTGAGGTCAGGGGCTCGAGACCAGCCTGACCAACATGGTGAAACCCCGTCTCTAGTAAGAATACAAAATTAGCCAGGCGTGGTGGCTGGTGCCTATAGTCCCAGATACTTGGGAGGCTGAGGCAGAACTTGGGAGGTGGAGATTGCAGTGAGCCAAGATCATGCCATTGCACTCCAGCCTGGGCAACAGAAATACCGTTATCAAAAAAAAAAAAAAAAAAAAAGTCTTTAAAAAAATTTTTTGAAGAAAATTCCTGGAACTGAAGGACATGCATTTCCATGTTGAAAGGTACCTACAAGTGCTCAGTGTGATGGAGGAATATAGCTCCATAGCAAGGCCACCATCGTGAGATGTCAGGTATACCCTGGGGACAGAGAGAGCATCCTACCGCTTCCAAAGTGGAAAAGAAATTCCATACTAAGCACCAGGAGGCAAAATGCCTTTGGACTTCTCTATAATAACACTAAAGGAACCTAATCTCCAGCCAGAACTTTCCATCACACCTCCTATGTGCCAGGCACTGTTCTTAGGCTTTTTCATATATTCTCTACCCAGCCAAATTATTAGGCGTGAGGACAGAATGAATAAGTCTGCAGATATTCACAGTCTCAAAACTGTCACCTCCCATACCCTCTTTCCAAGAAACTACTGGAGTAGGTGCTCCACCAAAAGAATGGGGCAAAATCAAGAAAGAGGAAAAGAAATCCAACAAGAATAGAGGTGAGGGGAACCCTGAGGTGATGATGAAGGAGAGCCCAGGGTCAGAGGTGGACTCACTGTGAAGCCCTGGAAACCTCATCAGGTTCCTAAACTTCCACAGGCCCCTGGGATGAGTGCATGAGTACTGGGGTTGTAGCAGGTCCTAGGTTGGCAGAAGCCAGGCTACAGGCCAGACTGCCTGAGACCTCAGAAGAGAGGTTCCTGAGCTGCCAAGGGACCTGAAAAGCCAGGAATTTACTGATTTATTTTATCGAAATAAATAAAATATACCTAATTTTTTTTTTTAAGGACCAGACACACTGGCTCACATTTGTAATCCCCACACTATGAGAGGCCAAGGCAGGAGGATGCTTGAGCTCAGGAGTTCGAAGCCAGCCTGGCCAACAAGGTAAAACCCTATCTTTACTAAAAATGCAAAAAACTAGCTGGGCGTGGTAGTGCATACCTGTGATCCCAGCTACCCAGGAGGCTAAGGTGGGAGGACTGCTTGAGCCCAGGAGTTTGAGGCTGCAGTGAGCAGAGATCGTACCACTGAGATGCTGTCACAAAAAAAAAAAAAAGGCCGGCAGTGGCTCACACCTGTAATCGCACTTTGTGAGGGTGAGACAGGTGGTTCACTTGAGGCCTGGAGTTAAGAGAACAGCCTGGCCAACATGCTGAAACCTCATCTCTACTAAATACACAAAAGATTAGCCAGGCGTGGTGGTGCACACCTATAATGCCAGCTACTTCGGAGGCTGAGGCATGAGAATCCTTTGAACCATGGAGGTGGAGGTTGCAGTGAACCAAGATCCTGTCACTGCACTCCAGCCTAGGTGACAGAGCCAGACTGTCTCGCAAAAAAACAAAGACTCAAAATGTAAAAACTTTTTTCTAAGAGACAAGGCCTCACTCTTCCACCCAGGTTGGAGCATAGTGGTGCAAACACTCCCCAATACAGCCTTGACCTGAGCACAAGCAATCCTCCTGCCTCAACTTCCACCACACCCAGCTAATTTTGGATTGAGTGATTGATGGCAGAAAGGGGAGCTTGTTGGCTAGACACAGTGGCTCACGCCTGAAATCCCAGCACTTTGGGAGGCCAAGGTGGGCAGATCATGAGGTCAGGAGTTGGAGACCAGCCTGGCCAACAGAGTGAAACCCCGTCTCTACTAAAAATACAAAAAATTAGCCCGGCGTGGTGGTGGTCACCTATAATCCCAACTGCTCGGGAGGCTGAGGCAGGAGAATCACTTGAAACCAGGAGGTGGAGGTTGCAGTGAGACTCCACCTTAAAAAATAAATACATAAAAAAGAAAGAAAGGGGGGCTTTGTAATCCCAGAACTTTGGGAGGCTGAGGCACGCAGATCACAAGGGCAGGAGTTTGAGACCAGCCTAGCCAACATAGTGAAACCCTGTCTCTACAAAAATACAAAAATTAGCCAGGTGAGGTGGCAGGTACCTAGAGTCCCAGCTACTCAGGAGGCTGAGGCAGGAGAATCACATGAACCCAGGAGGTGGAGATTGCAGTGAGCAGAGATCGCGCCACTGCACTCCAGCCTGGACAACAGAACAAGACTCTGTCTAAAAAATAAAATAAAAGTGATAGAATATTGATGTGGTAGTCATGGAGATGAGCCTCCCAGCCACCCCGTTCGAGTAAGGGCCTGCTGCCCAGCTGCAGGGAATTTGGACAGCTGTCAGCTCCAGAGTTGGCCTCAGACACAGATACCCACCTCAGCCAAGATCACATCCTTCCCCAGGGCAGCCCCCATCAGGTGCAGTCAGCGGTATAAAGGCCTGTCCATTCCAGCCAGGCTTGGCATACTCGGATGGGCAAAACTCACTCCAAAGCTCCTTGCCAGGTTGGCCTAGGCTTTGCCAGGCCTCCTCTGTAGTTTGACTTCTGCTCTAACCTGCTTCTGCCCACTTCCTTTCACAGGTGTTGATCCCTACAAACCTCTCCCTCTCCATACCTCCCAGAGAGACGAACCTGAGATACCCGATTTGTCTGACCATCTTCCATCTTTTTTTGTACTGACTATGCTAGGCACATATGGAGTGTTTCATATTCATGATGTTACTGAATTCTTACCATAATCCTCTAAGGGTAGGCACTATTATTCTCATCTAACAGATGAGGAAATTGAGATTCAGAGAGGTTGACTAACCTGTCCAAAGTCACACAGTTAGCTAAGGATTGAATCTCTTTTTTATTTTTTTCCGAGACAGAGTCTTGCTCTCTGTCACCTAGGCTGGAGTGCAGTGGTGTGATCTCGGCTCACTGCAACCTCCACTTCCAGGGTTCAAGCCATTCTCCTACCTCAGCCTCCCGAGTAGCTGGGACTACAGGAGCATGCCTCCACGCCTAGCTAATTTTTTTTAATTTTAGTACAGATTAGGTTTCAACGTGTTGCCCAGGCTGGTCTCGAACTTCTGAGCTCAGTCAGAATTTGGACAGCTGTCAGCTCCAGAGTTGGCCTCAGACACAGATACCCACCTCAGCCAAGATCACATCCTTCCCCAGGGCAGCCCCCATCAGGTGCAGTCAGCGGTATAAAGGCCTGTCCATTCCAGCCAGGCTTGGCACACTCAGCCTCCCAAAGTGCTAGGATTACAGGTGTGAGCCACCATGCCTAGCCCTGAACATCTTGAGAAGACATTTAGATAGCTAGTACAGAGTGAAATACACTTAGCAAATGACAAAACAGGATAATTATGAGATGCAGGGAAAACAAAAAGTTGCAGAGGAAAGGAATCATATTGCCACAGAATAAACAATGAAAATTGAACAAAAAATTATGTTGGCAGTTTAGAGAGATGGGGATCATGTGTATGGCTGGTGACAGGAAGAGTTAAAACTATCTTCCTCCAGCCTGGGCAACAAAAGTGAGGCGCCATCTCTACAAAAAACAGAAAAAAATATTAGCCTGAGGCCGGGCACGGTGGCTCAAGCCTGTAATCCCAGCACTTTGGGAGGCCGAGGCGGGTGGATCACAAGGTCAAGAGATCGAGACCATCCTGGTCAACATGGTGAAACACCGTCTCTACTAAAGCTACAAAAAAAAATTAGCTGGGCATGGTGGTGCGTGCCTGTAATCTCAGCTACTCAGGAGGCTGAGGCAGGAGAATTGCCTGAACCCAGGAGGCGGAGGTTGTGGTGAGCTGAGATCGCGCCATTGCACTCCAGCCTGGGTAACAAGAGCGAAACTCCGTCTCAAAAAAAAAAAAAAAAAAAAAAAAAAAAAATTAGCCTGGCATAGTAGCGCACATCTGTTGTCTCAGCTTCTCAGGAGGCTGAGCTGAGAGGATCACTTGACCCAGGAAGGTCGAGGCTGTAGTGAGCCATGGATGGCACCACTGCACTCTAGCCTGGGAAACAGAGTGAGATCCTGTCTCAAAAAAACCCAAAAAATAAGACTATTTTCCAGCTGGGCGAGGTGGCTCATGCCTATAATCCCAGCACTTTGGGAGCCTGAGGTGGGCAGATCACAAGGTTAGAAGATCAAGACCATCCTGGCTAACATGGTGAAACTCCGTTTCTATTAAAAATACAGAAAAATAGCTGGATGTGGTGGTACATCCTGTAATCCCAGCTACTTGGGAGGCTGAGGCAGGAGAATTGCTTGAACCTGGGAGGCAGAGGTTGCAGTGAGCCAAGATCACACCACTGCACTCCAGCCTGGGCAACAGAGCAAAAATGTCTCAAAAAAAAAA